TTAATTGGAACCCCATTCCCTCCTCTCTCTCCTTGTTTTTCTTGGCTGGAAAACCTGATGATCCCCACTGGCTATTTTTAGGCTGCTTTTCTTCCACAGCTCCTTTCTCCCGGCTGAAACCTCCTGGCATATTCAGGGCTTATCTGGAGGGAAGCCCCTCTGAGGTATTTCCTCTCGTGGCAATTCTTCTGCTGCAATTCTCCTGCCCCAGGAAGGGTTAAAAGACAGACTGCCCGGTGAGCCATGCCCTGAAACAGCAATCAGTTCCAAGGCCACAAAATCTCAGGGTCACACTTAGAAACCTTGCCACCAGGCCCCTGGAGAAGCCAAGGGGAGCTGGGATTCCCTGGAGTCCCAGGGAACCGAGGGGAAGGTGGGAAAGGGGCAGAGAGCAAACCCCCCCCAGCTGCTTCTCCCTGCAGCCCCCAGTGCAGGTGCAGCGAACACACGCCGGTGTAGAGTTTTTAGGAGAGCTTTAAAATAAACTAAAAAACAATCAGTTCAACGAAAAATGCTTCTGCAGTCTGCGCTGTCTAACAACTCAAATTGCTCACCAAGAAAATGACCTAATTTAGAACAACTGAATTGTAGAACCTCAGTGCAGCTGAGGGATTTCATGCCCCCTGTGCCTCTTGCATCAGGGAAAAGGACTGGGATGCACTGGGAGGGACTGGGGGCAGTGGGGAGGGATGGGGATGGGACTGGGGACACTGGAGAGGGACTGGGGGGATTTGGGCTGGGAGTGGGGACACTGGGGTGGGACTGAGATTTTTGGGGGGCTGAGGGGGACTGGGAGCACTGGGATGGGACTGGGGGTCATTGGGGAGGGACTGGGGACCGTGGAACTGGGGGCACTGGGATAGGAGTGAGATGCACTGGAGAGGGACTGGGCCGGGACTGAGGGCACTGGAGAGGCCCTGGGGGCACTTGGGAGAACTGGGCTGGGCCTGGGATTCTCTGGGGAGGGACTGGAGGCACTGGGATAGGACTGAGAGGCACTGGGGAGGCACTAGGACACACTGGGGCATCACTGGGATGGGACTGAGGGCACTGGAGATGGGTTGGGGAGAACTGGGCTGGCACTGGGGGCACTGGACTGCAACTGGGATTCTCAGGGGAGGGACTGGGGGAACTGGGATGGGACAGGGGTCATTGGGGAGGGATTGGGGACAGTGGGACTACAGGCACTGGGATGGGACTGAGATGCACTGGGTGGGCCCAGGGATGGGACTGAGGTCACTGGGGAGGGAACTGGGATGGGACTGGGAGCACTGGGAAGGGACTGGGAAGGGACTGCAAGGGGACTCTGACAGGACTGGGGAGGGGACTGGAGAGAGTGCCTGGGATGGGCCTGAGAATCTCTGGGGAGGGACTGGGACCACTGGGACGGGGCGCAGATATACTGGGAAGGGACTGGGGAGGGTCTGGGATTCAATTGGAAGCACTGGGGAGGGACTAGGAATCATTTAAGAGGGACTGGGATGGGACTGGGGAGGGACTGGGGGCACTGATGACGGCTCTTGAATGCACTTGGGAGGGACTAGGAGCACTGGGATGCAGTGGGGAAGGACTGGAGACACTTGGATGGCACTGAGGGACTGGGGAGGTACCAAGGGCACTGGGTTGGGACTGGGCTGCACTGGGGACACTTGGGAGCAAGTGGGATCACTGGAGAGGAAAATGGGATGGGACTGAGGGCACTGGGGAGGGACTGCAGCGGGTTTGAGGCAACTCTGGAAGGACTGGGAGCACTAGGGAGGTTCTGGAGGGAACTGCGCAGGGAGCTTGGTTGGACTGAGGGTACTAGGGATGGACTGGAATGGGACTGGGGTGCAGTGGGAGCAATTGGGAAGGACTGGAGGCACTGGGGAAGGAACAGGGAGGGGACTGGCTGCACTGGGATGGGGTTTGGGGCACTTGGGAGAAACTGAGAGGGACTCAGAAGGGACTGGGGACAGTGGGGAGGGACTGGGGAGAGTGGGAAGGGACTGGAAAGGTGAAATTGAAACAGACTCACCTGAGTCATGGTCTAAGAAGTCCTGCTACAGTTCCTGAGGCCGAACAACAGCCGAGGAGCCTCAGCCCAAGCCCTGGCCCCTCCTCCCCCTCATTGTTAACACCTGGGTCTTCTCCATAGAACAGCTGACTCCACCCAGTACTCCCAGTTCCCTCCAATGGCTTGCAAGAGAATTACTACCCTCCCCAGAGTGCACAAAAGTACAATCCCAATCCCACAGTAATTTCTACTCAAAATCAACAGTCCCTGACCAAAGCATCCAGTCCATATTCTAGCCCCCAGCTCTATCCCAGCCCCTCAGTGATTTCAGCTCGAGACCCACAAGCTTTAT